AAGTTGATAGGCACAAGACTAAGTATATCCTGCAGCTGTATGGAGGTCTGAAATGGAAGGAGCCAGACACTCCGTTGACGTGGGATTCCTTTTTTCGAAGAAAAAGCGCAGGAAAAGCTAACCAACCACTGGAGCTGGAAATCAGAGAGCAGTCACCTCTGGTGACATGAGGAGGGTGGGACATTTCGTCTTTTTATCATAACATTTGCTAAATTTAGCAATTTACACTTCATATTTTAACATTTGTTAAATGGGGGAGAAGCCTGGCAGGTGGGAAAACGCATGACTGTTATTCTCATTCTTTTAATCTTCTGCATGTTTGAGCTGCTCTACAAACAAGCACAAACAATGATTTTACAAAAACACGGAGGGGAGTCATAGATGGAGAAACTGGGGCCATGTATGGTTCAAGCACATGACAAAGTCTCTGCCCATAGCATACACTACTTTTAGTGTGTCTATGTGACAGTTATTTAAGTGTTAAGCATACACAGCATAAAATTGGCTTCCTTTGGGTTGCTTTTTCTTTTCGCCTTGCTGGCGATGGAGCCCAGGTCCTCATGAAAGTGAGCCAAGTAGTCTACCAACAGCACATGCATCCAGCCCCTGAAATCAGTTTCCTCTTTTATATGACCTTAATTTTATCTGTTATCATCATGTGTGGTAAAGGGATGCATTGCCACCGCACACGCATGGAGGTAAGTCAGCGGACAGCTGTGGAGCCAGTGTTCTCCGTCCACCTTTACTGGGCTCAGGGATTGAACTCAGGTCCTCAGGTTTGCACGGCAGGCACCCTGAACCATCTCACTGGCCTCCTAAGCAACGACTTGACATCAGTTTACTTGAACTGTGTGTAACTCTCCAGAGGCTGATCTTTTTACTGTGTGGATGGTTCCTTTGCAAGGAACCAGGCCAAGAACGGTGGCTGACAGCTGCGAGGCTCCTTTCCAGTCAAAGCATCAAGGGTCTCTCCTTCTCGTGGTACGTCTGCACAACAATCACCGCACCTAGTCATCGGTTCCGTGGGTCACTGAAAATCTGTGTTTGGAACTATGATTTTTTTTTATTATTGACCCCTGCCCCTTTTCTTGAGAATAGGTCTCTCTATGTAGCCCAGGCTGGCCTCAAACTCACAGAGATCCACCTGCCTCAGGCTCCTGAGTGCTGGGATTAAAGGCGTACACCACCATACCAGGTCAATATTCTCTTAAATGTAAAAACGTAAAGAGTTCTTAATCGCCTCCCTCTCCACCGCGTCTTTTAGACATAGTCTGGAATGCTGTAAGCATTTCACACATGATCTTTCATTCTGGACTTCCTTCTATGAACGGTACTTGAGGCCCACATTTTGCTGATTTCAACAAGAATGCAAATTTCCAGCTTTGCCTTTATTATATTATCACTTGCCTCAGCAAGAGTGTCTTAGCGTTCTCAGCAAAGAAGAGAGTCTCAACCTTTCTACTGCTGTGATAGAACACCGCGGCTGAAACTCGGGGAGGAAAGGGTCGCTTTCAGCTTATAGCTTCCCTTCTCACTACGTCACTGAAGGAAGTCAAAGCAGGAACGATGGGCAGGAACAGGAAGCAGAGACGGAAGCGAGCCCATGGAGGAGTGCTGCTTACTGCCTTGCTTCTCGTGGCTTGTCCAACCTCCTTTCCTAGACCACTCAGGACCACCAGCCCAGGAGGACACCACCAACAGGGAGCTGGGCCCTCCCATCAACCATTCATTGAAAAAAAAAATCACCCACAGGCCACTCTGGGAAGGACATTTTCTCAATTAAGGTTCCCTCTTCCAGATGACTCTAGTTTGTGTCAAGTAGCCTAAAAACTAAGAGTGAAATACACTGTTCAGATACTGTCAGGTACCACATCTTGCTGTGAGAATATCTCCCTCACAAACACAGTGCAAAAGCTGCCAAGACTCTGCCTCCCGCCACAGCTGGAGTGCTATTCCTCAAACAGGGTCTTCAGGGGATCTCAGCGGGCGCCATAACTGTGAGCCACCATCTGCCTCAGGGTAAGGGGCATACAGCTGTAATCCCAGCACGCAAAAGCTGAGGCAGGAAGATGGCAAATTCAAAGCTAGCCCAAGTTACACAGAAGACTCCACAGAGAAGCCGAGGGCTGGATGTAGTGTGGTGGTACGGCACTGCCTGGAATGCGCAAGGCCCTGACTTCAGCTCCAATGTACAAAAATCGGGTTTGGGTTTTTGTTTGTTTGTTTGGTTAATTGGTTTTTTTTTTTTTTTTTTTTTTTTTTTTTTTTTTTTTTTTTGCTTGCTTGCTTGCTTGCTTGCTTGCTTGCTTGGTTTTAAGTTTTTTTTTGGGGGGGGGATTTGGTTTGTTTGTTTGTTGTTTTTACTTTATTCTTTTGTTTTTCCAGACAGTGTTTCTCTGTGTAGTCCTGGCTGTCCTTGACCTCACTTTGTAGACCAAGCTGACATCAAACTCACAGAGATTTGCCTGCCTCTGCTTTCTGAGTTGCTGGGATTAAAGGGGTGCACCACCACCACCTGGCCACACAATCGCTTTACTAGTACACTACACATTTAATAATTCTTGTCACCTTTCAGCAGAACCAGCCATGCCTGCCCCAGCAGTGGGAAGTCCGACTCATGACTTTCCCACAGCTTAAGTGCACTGTTCAGAGCTTTTTGTTTCTTCTTTTTTATTTGTTTGCCTTTGCTTGGTTTCTGCCACATAGTCACCTTACAGTAGTCCAGTCAGGTAGACAACATGCAACCATCAAGTTAGGGTAATCAATTGACCCAGTAAAATTAAACTCTCACATCAGTGACTGAGATCTCCTTGTTAATCACAGGATTCTTCAGCCCCAGCTAACAAGAAACCACAGATTCTTAATTCAAATATACCACACGAAAAAAAAACAGAAAGGATGAGTAATATAGGATTCCACTTGCTTCAGATAATAAAGATTCTGTCCAGGTTCAGCAGAAAGAAGCCCTGATCCAGATTTTAGGCCTTCGGTCCTTTAAGGACCCCAGTGGCTTGCAGCATGAGGAGCTGGAACGTGGAGATCCAGCAGCAAGACCGCAGAACAACTAAAAACCCTTGCGTTTATAGTCTAGAAAGTGGAGCTTAGAGAAAGTTCGCTCAGCAGATTAATGGGGGAATTAAATAAAGCACTGGGCAGTACTTTAGGGAATTCATCTTGTTCCACCCAACCTTGAGGTTGGTACATGCCAGGAGAGAAGTTTCCAAATAAGGTATGGCTGATCCCCTCTCCTGGAATCACCTTTGGGATCTAAGGCCACTGATACAAATTCTTAAAAATGAAAGTTAATAGAGAGTAGCCATTCTCAACCTGTGGATCGTGACCCCTTTGGGGATCACATATCAGATACCCTGCAGATGAGATATTTACATTATGATTCATAACAGTAGCAAAATTACAGTCATTAAGTGGCAATGAAATAATTTAGTGGTTGGGGTCACCACAACATGAGGAACTTATTAAAGGGTCGAAGATTTGGAAAGGTTGAGAACCACTGAGCTAGAGCAATAGGACCCATTAGTTGCCTGAGCATCTTGACTTAGAGGGAAGAGATTGAGAAGCTGGGCATCCATAAGAAATATTAAAGTGGATCCTTGCCCTAACCATACAGAAAAGTTGCTTCAATCAGATCAAAGATTTAAACACAACAAACTACGTTTTTAAAAAGTTAAGAAATTCCTCAGAATGTTGGATATAATAACAATTTTACTGCTAATACAACAAAAGAAGCAATAAAAGAAAAACCAGATAAGTTAGAATTCATCAAAACTAAAAATCTGTGTTTAAAAGCTATAATCAACAGGATGAGGGAAATAGTTGCAAAGTTTATATTTGATAAAGTTTTCATATACAGAGCCTTTAAAGAAGCCTAACAATGCAACAATTTAGCAAAAATTACCCGATTGAAAAATGGACAAGCGGGCCAGGCAGTAGCTTTAATCTCAGCACTCAGGAGGCAGAGGCAGGTGAATCTCTGAGTTCGAGACTAGCCTGGCCTGCAGAAAAAGTTCCAGGACAGCCAGGGCTACACAGAGAAACCCTGTATTGAAAAAAAAATGATATTTCTTCAAAGAAAATATACAAATAAAAACCATCCAGAAAGGTACTCTTCCTCGTGAACCTTTCGAGAAATACAGATCAAAACCAGAGTCACGTTCGTTCTGCTCACTAAGGTGACTGCTGTCAGGGCAGCAAAAACAAAGGCAGTAAATGGGTGTCGTTGAGCAGGCAGAGAAACACAAGCACTGAGAGAGAGAGAGTACAAAACAGTGTAGCCTTTGTGAGAAACAGTGTGGTGCGTCCTCATGTCAAATCTCCAAAATAAGTTTAACACTTCAGAGATATTTATACGTCCCATACTCATAACTGCATTGACAACACCCAGGAAGTAGTCTACACCCGCTCCAGTCCCACCGCTGCTGGGCAGGGGTCTGAAGGAATTTAAGTTAACACACCACAAAGATACCTCACATTCTTGTTAACTGTGGCTCTGCACACGGATCTGCTAAGATGCCATCAGCAGATGAATGGACAAAGACTCTGTGGTTTGTATACACAGCGCCAGAAAAGAGAACAAAATTACATCATTGGCTGGAGACGAGTGGAACTGGAGACTACCCGGTAAGCAAAATAAGCCAGACTGAGAAAGATAAACATTGCATGTTTTCTCTCAATATATGGAACCTCACGTAACTCAGGATGGCCTCAAACTTGCTGTGTAGCCAAGCCTGGCCCTGAATTCCTGACCCTCTCGCCTCCATATCTATAACAAAAAAATAGAAAAGGAACTAGTTGGGGAAGGAAAGGGACGTCTGGGAAAAGGAAAGAGAAACAAGGAAAGGTAAAAGGAGGGAGAAAGGCCACGGATGTGGTTTCTCACATGTGCTATCTGGATGTGATCTATTTACACTTCTGAGTCATCAATCAGAGGCCAGGAAGGCGGCAGCAAAGGGAGGGGTGAGAGGGCAGCGGGTGGGCAAAGGGCAGCGCTATAAACAATATCTCCACGAAACCCTTGCTTTCTACACTGGCTAAAAGATGAATAAGGCATAAAGCCGAGCTGACGAAACGCCCATCTTGCCATCCCAAGTGACCATCTCTCTCTCTGACATTCGTGTGAAAAGCAAGCAGCTGCTCGTTCATTTCGCCATGGAAACGCTGGAAATGTGACTGCTCAATGACCCCCATCTTTAACTCCTCCCACATTCCAGCATGACAGAAACCTTTGAGGAATCGAGACTTCAGAATAAAAGAGGTACCTTTATTTTCTGTTCCCCTCCCCCGCCAGAGTCAGGCCTTGCTGTTTGGTAAACACTGTGTGAGCCTTTCTTGATCAAGGACGGCGTGTTTTCCTCAAACATATTTGCACCTTCCGTTCAACCACCTTTTTCCTGCCTGAAACAGCTTCCTCTCTTATTTTATTGTGTATTTGTCTGTGTGTGTGTGTGCGTGTGTGTGTGCGTGTGTGTGTGTGTGTCTGTAGTTGAATGCATGTGTTCATTGTAGAAGGGCACACATATATGCATGTGTGCAGAGGCCAGAGGTCAGCCTCGGGCACTGTTTCCTCGGGAGCCCTGAATCAGGGTCTCTCCCAGGAACCTGGAGCACACTAAGGTCAGGCTGCCTGGCCACCAAACCCGAGATATCATCCAATCACTGTCTCTAGAGCACTGGGATTATATCATGTAGTTGGTTGTTTTTCACTCTTTACTTTTTGGGGGCTCACCACCCAGCTCCCAAATAAATAGACAGAGACATTTCTTCTTATGAATGCCTGGCCTTAGTTTTGGCTTGTTTCTAGCCAGCTCGTCTAACTTAAATTATCCCATCTACTTTTCGCCTCTGAGCTTTTACCTTTTTCTATTCTGTATACCTTTCTTTCTTTCTTTCTTTCTTTCTTTCTTTCTTTCTTCCTTCCTTCCTTCCTTCCTTCCTTCCTTTCTTCTTTCTTTCTTTCTTTCTTTCTTTCTTTCTTATTACATGGCTGGCTGTGTTGCTGGGCAGCTAGCCCCTGGTGTCTTCTTCTCCTTCCTTTTTTGCTCCTCCCTCTTCTCTTCCTCTCTCCTCTCTTTCTTAAGCCAAGATTTCTCCTCTTATTTATTCTCTCTGCCTGCCAGCACTGCCTATTCCTCTCCTGCCTTGCTATTGGCCATCCCTCTCTTTAGTGAACCAATCACATGTTTTAGGCCGGCAAAGTAGCACAGCTTCACAGAGTTAAACAAATGCAACATAAAAGAATACAGCACATCTCTGCATCATTAAACAAATGTTCCACAGCACAAAAGAATCTAGCACCTCTTTAACTAATATCCCACCACAGCATTCTGCATGGTATTGAGTGTGATGCTAGAGATGAAATTCAGATCCTTATGTCTGCACAGCAAGCACATTACCAACTTAGGCCTCTGCCCAGGCCCCTTCTCCAACTTAATAGAGTTAATAACTTAACTAATGGCCTACAAAAAAAGTAGATGATTACCTTCTCCGCACTCCACTTAGTAAGAAAACAAAATTAATATTGCTCAAGAGGATATGAGAATATATGTAAATCAATTATCTCTTTGGCACAGGGGTAGGAGGAGAAATTGCTCTTTTTGCCTATGGTACAGTTTTTTGGGAATAAGTGCCTGGAATTATGGCAGCTCTTGTGCAATCATGAGGGAGTGGTGAGGACAGAAGCACACAAAGAAAGGTGGTTGAAATGTTGGGAATGGGACAAGAGAGATGGCTCAGTGGTTAAGACCACTGACTGCTCTTCCAGAGGACCAAAGTTTGATTTCCAGCACCCACGTGGTGGCTCACAACCATCTGTAACTCCAGTTCCAGGGATCTGACGCCCTCTTCTGGCTTCTGTAGGCAGCGCACACATGTGCTGCACATACATACATGCAGTTAAAACACTCAAACACAAGCAATAATTTTTAAAACTTAAATATTTTTAAGTTGAAATCATGTTCTTTTGGGGGGGCAGCAGTAGGGTTTTCAGTGGTACCCAGCCTGGCCCCCATATCCTGAACTCAAGCGACATTCCTGCCTCAGCCTCCCAGATGTCTGCAACAGCAGGACCCGGGCAGACTAAATGCACTAGTAGAGCTCTGTGTAGAACAGGTGTAGGCTCTTCTGCACTTGTCCCTCCTGTCGCGTGTAGCTGTGGCCCATCTTCCTAAGCTTCTTTAGACATTTGTGGCCTTTCCTGCTTTTGCTGCGGGAACATCTCTGCTTCAGGAGGCTACGGCTTTGCTGTCCCGTTCACGCCTCATGCTAACGTAAACTGCACTCAGTGGCAAAGTTTTGTGCTGCCCTGTATTTCTCACATTTCTGTTCCTTCCCCTAAGTGGTTATTTCTCTTTTTTGAAATGACTAAAAAGTTTTACAGCTTCATGCTACAGTTGCAGACTGGGCGAAAGCACCAAAAATACACACAGGAGTAAGGCGAAATCTCAAAGTAGGTTTTAATTTGCATTTCCTTGCTGGCTAAGGATGCTGAACATTTCTTTGTTCCCCAGCCACTTGTGTTTCATCATTTGAGAATTATTTGCCTAGTCCTGCACCCTATTTTAATTGGGCTGTTTTCTTGATGTTCAGGATTTGTTAGTTCTTTGTATATTTTAGAAACTAACCCTCTGCAGACTGCCTCTTTGCCTGAACGATGGTGTCCTTTGCTGTACAGAAGCTTTCCATTTTCATGAGGTCCCTCTTATTCACTAGCTAGGCAGAGGAGGGATAGATGGGGCTGGAGGGCAGAGAAAATCAATAGGAGAGAATGAGAGAGAAGAGAACAAAGGAGAAAGAGGAGGACATGCCTGGGGCCAGAAGCCAGGCAGCCACCAGCAAGTCAGACACCAGAAGCAGGAAAGTAGGACATACAAAAGGAAAGAAAGGTGAAAAAAAAAAAAGGCAAAATATAGATAAAGAGAAGCATTAAAATAAAAGCTAAGATAAGGCCAAACATTCGTAACTAATAATAAGTCTCCGTGTCCTTATTTGGGAGCTGGTTGGTGCCCTAAAAGAAAGCCTGCTACAAGCTACTTTGCTAGCTCCCTTTTCTATTTATACCCCCCTTGATCACCTTCTGTTGTCTTACTGTTCTGAGATGGTGGCTATCCCTATTGAATAGATGTGGAGGGAATGAACATCTTTGTCTTGTTCCTGACTTTAATAAAAATGCTTTGAGTTTCTCTCCATTTAGGTTGATGTTGGCCGTGGTCTTATAGTAAACCGTCTTTCTTAGACTGAGGTATGGCCCTTCTATCACTAGTCTCCAGGACTTTTATCATGAAGGGATGTTGAATTTTTGTCAAAGACCTTTATGAAAACTAAAGAGGTGATCATGTGTTTTGTTTTGCTTTGGCTTTGCCTTGTTTTTGCCTTTTGGTCTGATTATGTGGTGAATTATGTTTATTGATTTATGTATGTTGAGCCATTCCTGAATCCCAGGGATGAAGCCAACTTGATAATGATGGATTTCTTTTTGCTATGTTCTTGGATTCAGTTTGCAAGTATTTTATTAAGAACTTTCGCATCTATATTCATGGGGATATTGGTCTATAAATTTTTCTATTGCCAGATCTTTGCATGGTTTTGATATCAGGGCAATAGTGACTTTGTAAAAAGCTAATTAGTCAATGTTCCTTCATTTTCATTTTGTGTAATAATTTGAGGAATATTAGTATTAATTCTTCTTTGAAAGTTTGGTAGAATTCTGTTCTGAATCCATCTGGCCCTGGACATTTTTTAAATTATTGTTTCTATTTTACTAGGGGTTATGGGTCTGTTTGAATTACTATCTGATCTTGATTTTAGTATGTCATATACATTAAAAAATCATTCTTTTTTATGTTTTCCAATTTGGTAGAGTACAGCATTTTAAAGCATGCCATTATTACTCTCTGGATTTCCTTGGTGTCTGTTGTTACACCTCACTTTTCATTTAATTTTGTTACTTTAAATCCTTTCTTTGTCTTTTAATTAATTTGGCAAAGGGTTTATCAATCTCACTGATTTTCTCAAAGAAGCAACTCTTTGTTTCCTTGATTCTTTTTAAATTTTTTTCTTTTTTATTATTTCAGCCCTGAGTGTGATTATTTCTTTCAGTCTACTCTTTTTGGTTTTGTTTCTCCTCGTTGTCTTTCAGGTGTACTCTAAAGTTACTAATATGAGATTTCCCTCAGTTTTTGATGCAGGCATTTAGTGTTATGAACTTGCCTCTTAGAGCAGCCTTCACTGTGTCCCATAAATTTGGGTACATTGTGCTTTCATTTTCATTCAGTTCTTAAGTTTCTTGATTACTGTCTTGACCTATTTTTTATTCAGTGATGAGTTGTTCAGTTCCCATGAATTTGTGAGCTTTGTATTGTTTCTGTTATTGATATCCGGTTTTAATTCATGGTGGTCAGATAGGATATAGGGTGTTATTTCAATCTTCTTATACCTCCAGACTTGCTGTGTGTCCAAATATGTGGCAAATCTTGGAGAAAGTTCCATGAGCTGCTGAGAAGAAAATCTATCCTTTCATGTTTAAGTGAAATGTTCTGTAGTTATCTGCTATGTCCATTTGATTTTCGATGATATTTAACCCCAGCATTTCTCTGTTCAGTTTTTGTCTGGATGACCTGTTTATTGGTGGGAATGGGACATTGTAGTCACCCACTATCACTGTGAAGATCAATGTGTGATTTTAGCTGTAGTGATGTTTCTTCTCTGAACTGAGGTACCCTTGTGTGTGATGACTAATGTTTAGAATTGCAATATCCTCTTTGTGAATTTTTCCTTTAATGATTATGCACTGTCCTTCCCTATCTCTTCGATTTTTTTTTGAAGTTTATTTTGACAGATATTAAAAAGGATATATCTGCTTGCTTCTTGGGCCTGAAGTAATATCTAACCTTGTTGTTAGGTGTGTTTCTTGTTTTTGGGGGGAGGGGATTTTTCGAGAGAGGGTTTCTCCGTAGCTTTTTGGTTCCTGTCCTGGAATTATCTCTTGTAGACCAGGCTGGCCTCAAACTCACAGAGATCCGCCGGCTTCTGCCTCCCGAGTTCTGGGATTAAAGGCGTGGGCCACCACTGCCCAGCTAAGGTGTGTTTCTTGAATGTGGCAGAAAGCTGGATCCTGTTTTCTAATACAATCTGTTAGTCTGTGTCTTTTTATTGAGGAATTGAGATCATTTACATTGACAGTTGTCAACAGAAGTGTTTCTTGATTCCTGCTGCTTTGTTGTTATGCTGTGAGTTCCCCCCGCCTTTTGATTTAATGCTCTGGGATTATTTATTCCTTTTATCTTTGTGAGCATAGTTAACCTCTTCAGAGTGAAGTTTTCCTTCTAGTGCCTTTTGTAGAGCTGCATTGGTAGAGAGATACTGTTTATATTTGGTTTTATCGTGAAGTGTTTTTCTTTCTCTATTAATTGTGATTGATAATTTCGCTGAGTATAATAGAGTGAGCTGGCATCTGTGGGCTCTCAGAGTCTGCAGACCACCTGTCCAGGTCCTCTAGCTTCTAAAATCTCTATTGAGAAGTCAGGTGCTTATCTAATGGGTCTGCCTTTATGTATGACTTGATCTTTTTCTCTTGAAGCTTTTAATACCTTCATATAGTATTTTAATTATTATGCATAATGGGGAATTTCTCTTTTGGTCCTATCTATTTGGTATTCTCTATCCTTCTTGTACCTTGATAGGCTTCTTTAGGTTATGGAAATTTTCCTCTATGATTTTCTTCAAAGTATTTTCTGTGCCTTTGACCTGGGTTTCTTCTCTTTCCTCTCTTATTTGCAGACTGGGTCTTTCCAGAGTGTCCCAGATTTCCTGGATATTATGTGCCTGATTTTTTTCAATTTAATACTTTTTTGGGGCTGACCTATCCATTTTTTTACCTTGTCTTCAACACCTGAGGTTCTTCTTTTTTAAAGTTATTTTTATGGCTTATTTAACTTTATTTTATGTGCATTGGTGTGAAGGTGTTAGATCCCCTAACTGGATCTTCAGACAGTTGTGAGCTGCCATGTGGGTGCTGGGAATTGAACTTGGGTCCTCTGGAAAAGCAGTCAGTGCCCTTAACCACTGAGCCATCTTTCCAGCCCCCAAGACCTGAGGTTCTTTCTCCCATGTCTTGTAATCCGTTGGTGAGGTTTTTACCTTTGAAGTTTTCATTTTACATCCTAAGTTTTTCATTTCCAGTTTTCAGTTGGGTTTTGTTAAATTATTCTATTTCTTTGTTATTTTTCGTTCATGTCTTGAACTGTTTTCATTATTTAATTTAACTGTTGTGTTTTTACGAACTTCATTATGAGATCTACTCAATCCTCTTTAGGTCCTTGAACATATTGATAGCTGCTACTTTGAAGTCATTTATCTTGTGTTTTGGCTATATTCCATCTGTCAGGGTTACATGGTTCAGGTGAAGGCATATTGTCTTAACTGTGTGTGTGTGTTTGTGTACATGTGCACTGTGGTCTAGTGTGAAAGTCTCTGCAAACACTAGGAGAGCTGGTAAAGTAACCACTCGCATGAGGCAAGAAGTTCAACACAACTCAATAACAGTGATGGTTCAGGCTTCTAGAGTCAGACACTGGGCTGTTTATTTTAGGCGTATGTAAGTGCAGTACGATTTGGAAAAATGTTTCCTGTTGTAACACAACCCCATTGTACAATGAGGCATAATTACACCAAAATACTTCTTAAAGCATGTGTCATTTCTTCCAAGAAGGTGGGCTCCATAGAGAGGCTACATGTGTTATCTTTAGGGCCTAGAGGAAGATCTGGTGTGGTCTCCGTCATACAGATAGTGCAAAGGTTACCTAAGTTGTTAACCACCTTCTGTCTGGCTGGTGGGAAAGTGGAGGAGCCAGGTGCGATTTTGCCATACAGATATCAGGAGGGTCACTGGGCTATTGACCACCACCATTCCCAGTCTTCTGGGCAGAAAATACATTATACATCTCTTCATTTAAAGAGAGGCCTGTGGGATTGACATTCCTGGTTTCCCTAGTGCTGACCATTGTGCTTCCAACAGTCTAGGCATCTGGAATTATACTTTTGAGGTATTTCTTGACATTGATTCTGGTCTTGGCTTTCTTAAGCAGGTATTCTATCCTTTGATTGGTATTGCCCTGTCTGGATTCTTAGCAAGTATGGTGGTTGTGGTGTCCCTGGTAGAGGGTGCCTCTGCAGGTTGGTGAGTAGATGTGGTAGTTTGAACAAAAATGGTCCCCCATAGGGAGTGGCACTATTAGGAGGTGTGGCATTGTTGAAGTAGGTATGACCTTGTTAGAGGAAATGTGTCACTGTGTGGGTGGGTTTTAAGGTTCCCTATGCTCAAGCTATGCCCTGTGTCACAGTTCACTTCCTGTTGTCTGTGGATCAAGATCTAGGAACTTTCAGCTCTTTCCCCAGCACCATGTCTCCCTGCATGTCACCGTGTCCTGCCACGATGATAATGGACTAAACTTCTGAAACTGTAAGTCGCCCCAATTAAATGCTTTTCTTTATAAGGGTTTCTGGAATCATGGTGTCTCTTCACAGCAATAGACACCCTAACTAAGACAGTGGACCAAGAAAGAAGAGTCAAGAGGACTGGAGAAAAGAGCTAGGGAGGTAGGTCCACACTAAGAGGTGGAGTTCTCTGGGAGTGGAGGTGTGGTGGGAGGTGGGGCTCCTGCAAGCAGACTTCAGTGGTACAAGAGCAAGTCTGGAGGGACCAGAATGAAAGGGTTAGGAGAACCCTAGGTCTGCAGAGAAAGGCAGACTCCCTAAGTTGTGGATTTGGGGTGGTTGGAGGGGCTCCTACAAGCAAGCTGTTACAGAGGCTAACATAGAGCAGGGAAGATAGAGAGAATCTTCTACCTGAGGCCCAACCTATGTAGCCACTGCGAATCCCCAGCAGAAAGTGTTTCTGGGAATCTGCCACTGACCCAAAGGAACAGAGATGGGCTAGGGAAGGCTGACGGGAGCAGTGGAAAAGGACCATTCTGGGTCTGCACCAAGAGGTGGCAAGACCGGGGGCTGCTCTGGTCTTTATTATCCCTTGTCATCTACTAGATTTGGATTTATTGTTTTCCAGATTCTTTTATTCTCAGAATATGAGTGTTTTGCCTGCATGGATGAAGGCGTGTGCACCACATGCATGCCTAGTGCCGGCAGAGTCCAGAAGAGGACATCAGGTTCCCGGAAACGCAGTTATAAATGATTGTGAACTGTCATTCGGGTACTGAAAACCAAACCCAGGTCCCCTGAAAGAGCAACAAGTACTCTTAACCTCTGAGCGATCACTCTAGCCACCCTCTTTATTTTTACACATCTATGGGGTGCATCAAGCTTGCTCTGATTTTTTACTGTAGGAGTTTGACATAGATTTCTCTCTGAGGACTCCATTTAATGTGCCTCGGAGATTTTGTTGTGCTATCTTCTCATTTTGTTCCAGGATTCAAGAAAAACCTTTCCTGGCCTGGAGAGATGCCTCAGCAGTTAAAAGAACTTATTGATCTTCCAGATGATCCAAGTTCAGTTCCCAGCACCCGTAACACATGGTCCGTAAGCATCTATTACTCGAGTTCCAGAGATCCAATGACATCTGGAACCTGCACATATGATATATATATACATATATATATATGCATAGATTCATAAGTAAAAGTAAACTTAAAAATAGGAATCTTTCCTAATGTCTTCCTTGACCCGTTCACTATTAAGGAATGTGTTGTTTAACCTCCGTATGTCTGGGTAACTACTAGAAATGTGCTCATTCTTTTAACTTTTGTTGCATTGTGGTCAGATAGCATACACAAAGTCGTTTCAATGTACTGATGGGGAAACTCTATCAACCAATCACATCTAGTTAGGGTGTGGCTACCTGGCGCCCAGGCAGAAAAACTGGGAGGATCCAGATGCATGCCCTCTCTGCGCAGTGCCCGCCCAACAGATAGGATGTCAGACCTCCCACTCCTGTAGCGTGAGTTTCCCCCTTTTAACCATTAAAATATAACTTGAGCTGGCCTGGTTATTTATCGTACTGACCTAATTCACAATAATATACCTTCTTTAAGCCCCTTGAAATTATTGATTACATTCATCATTGTTCCTTTAAATTCTGTGTCCTAGAGTTCTCCTAAGTAACTGGAGAGCTTTTCTATGGGACTAATGGGTTTGAGTGGGGACATCCTGTCTTGATCTTTCTGAGAGCTTCTGCTGTTGCAGTGATACCTGGCCATGCGCACTTCTTTCCTGGATTTCACGGCTGTCTCAGGTAGGGCCGGTACAGAAGCTGATGACTAGATCTAGGTCTATAGCAAGTACACGAGGTGCTTGGCTGGAGTTAGGCTTGCAAGTGTAGTGATACCACAAGAGCAGATGGGGGTCTGGGGAATTCAGCCAGCAAAGTTGTTGTGCAAGCGGCATGAGCTGGGCCTCCAAGTGTGGAGATGGGGGGTGAGTGAGGGACCACAGTTCTGATTCTATCCATCCCTTCACCCTCTCTTATTCTCTCCCAGCACAACCAGCCCACCCAGTCCACAAGTTCCATTCTACATCTGTGTGGTTTTGCTTTGCTTTTCGGTTTTGTGTTGTGACCCTCTGAGTTAACGAAGGCAAGTGGATGGGTGTGAGTATGGGGTTCACCACTGAAACATGAAGACATCACTGAAGATAATAACCTCTCCTCCAGCAAGCTTTGAGTGCTTTTAGCTCCCCTGGACAGGGAAGGCCCCTTCTCTACGACTGAGTATTGACTAGGTCAGTTTTGTCCAGGCCCTGTGCAGACAATTGCAACTGTTCCTCAACCCCGCAAGACAGCACCTCACAGCATCTCACAGCATCTCTCTCGCAGCATCTCACAGCATCCCACAGCACCTCACAGCATCCCACAGCACCCCACAACATCCCACAGCATCCCACAGCATCCGATAGCATCCCACAGCATCCCACAGCATCCCACAGCACCCACAGCACCCACAGCATCCCACAGCATCTCACAGCCCTCCTCCCTAATGTTCAGCCCATACACTCTTTCCGCTCTCTGAGATTCTCTCCGCTCTGAGCTTGGAAAGGGTGACACAAGTGTCCTGTTTAATTCTGAGCACTCACCAGTCTCCTGGTCTTAGCACCGAAAGCAGCCATGAGTCTAGATTTGCCATCATTCATGACAAAGACAGGCTAGGGAAATGCTTTATTATATAATGCTGATCCTCAATGCCTTCAGACTCAGGGAATCTGAAGAAACGGTAAGACAGCAGGTAAGGAGTTTGAATGAAGGCACACTGCGTTTGTGGGGAAAGGCATTCTCAGGAGCCCTATGGTGCCCCTGCTGTTGACTGCATCTTAGAACTCGATAGTAAGTTCCTGCTGCTGAAGATGCCGCATGTTTGCCATCAGATATGGAAAAACTAAGCCAGCTCCTTCATTTGTTCACGAGGCAAGGTTGGGTGGAATAATGTCTTTGGTCTTTTGCCAGTGCTCTATCCTGTAGATAGACAGATGCTTGCTTATGTCTTCCCAGAAGAAGACACACAGCTAAGGGGCATGGGCCTCTTTTGACCTGGCACTGTACAGGAGCAAGGTCCCTCCCGAGGGAAAAGGACACTGTTCTTCCCAGTTAACAACGCTGGCACTAGAAGCCAGCTCCACTGATTACACTGTACAGATGTTTCCTTGCCAATTCAGAGAAAGCTGGGTTAGAGTCTCAGAGAAAAGCTACAAACTGATGCCAACGACATTTTACTAGAAATGAAGATGGCACGGAAGCAAAGTATCCCAGGCTGTCTGAGGTTCCCCTCCTGAAAACAGAGCTCAGTCCTAACATCTTGAACGTAGATGGGAGGAACTGGAAACAGACAAGAGTGGGTGACTACTTCCACTCTTCATCCTACAAAGTTCATTAGTGGCCAGTGAGCGAAGGGAGCACTGAACTGCCCATGTGTTCCTAGGCATGAATTCCTAGTCGGGTTCTCTGGGCCAGAACAGGGACTGCGTCCTCAGAGTTTCCAGGTAACGTTTTGACCAGACAAGTCTCCCTTCCCAAACAAGACACAAAGAGCAAAGTTGGCTTGTCCCCAGCATTCATGGTGCAGAATGTTTCTTTGTCCTTGACCTAGGGGAGAGTACAAGATCTGGGAAGCCTCTCAGGAGGGCAGGTTCAAAGAAGACAAGGAGGCAAGTTCTCACTGGGCTTCCTGAGGGTCTGAGGTCTCGTTTCCTGAGACAGGCTGTCCATTCGCTTCCGCCATCATTTCCTTGTACTGACGTTTGAAGAAGCCAGCCTGTAGGGAGGAAGAGGAAAATGGAAGAAGGATGAGAGGCGCTAAGGGGCTCAGTGTGTAAAACACTTGCTGACAAGCGTGGGAACTGGAGTCCGGATGCCCAGAGTCCACACTAACGATGCATGGGCGTGGTGCCCTGCCTGTAAGCCCAGAACTCAGGAGGTGGAGATGGGATCCCTTGAGCAAGACCAGCCAAAGTGATCTCTGTGTTCAAGTGAGAGGCTCTGCTTCAGTGTGTAAGGTAGAGAGTAATAGAGACAGGTACTCAGCATCTACTGGTAGCCTTCACACTCACATGTGCACATATGCGTACGTACCCAGAAACTCATGTGCGCCTACACACACATACACACACACACACACACGCATGCATGCATGAATGCATGTATATATGCCCACAAATGCAAAAAAAGAGAGGAAATAAATGACTAAAGGAGAGGAAGGGTAACCATCTCTGGAGCCCTACGACTTTCAAATAACTGGGTACATATTGCATCATTTAGACACAGACAGAACTATGTGGCTTCAATCACCCTTACACTGAAAAAGACCAAGGCCCGGCCCAGCCCTGGTGTCAACATTCAAGTCCATGTCTGCACCTATGTTCTATTCTTCTGGAAAAGGAAACAGGGAGAGAAGCAGAGAAGAGTAAGAAAGGAGAGAGATGAGAGTGGCTCTCGGGCGGGGAGGCACAAACGAAGGATAACTGGGTGGGGAGGGTTTGTCACGTGAAGTGTGCCGGTGATGATGTGCTCAGACACCAGCATGAGCTCCTGCCTACCCTGCAGGAGGAGCATGACCAAATCGTGCCGTAAGAAGGACAAGTCCCTCACCTTGTACAGCCCGCCTGTGATGAGAGCCAGCAGCAGCAGACCGCCCACAGAGCTGCCCACGATGAGAGGGACCGGGTTGTGAACCTCATACATCTCCAGCACTGTCTTCGTCTGGTGGAGGTGGACCCAGTGGAAAACATCATGTCTCATGCAGCCTCACCTGCCCCCGGGATCCCAGCCTCTAACTCCCTCTCTTCCTTGTCCAGGCTCTGTTCCAGGAGGTGCAATACAGAAGCTCTTGTACACTGAGTGTCTAAGGCCCTTCACTCGTCCTCCCTCCAGGCTGGCAAGGCCCCCAGCCAGCACTGCAGACTGAGCGTTAGGAGCCCTCTCGCCAGCCTGGCCACCTCCTGCCACACAGCCACTACCTGGGCTCTCAGAAACGCCTCCTGTCCTGGCAGCTGGGAATACACAGATGTGTCGAATGTGATCTCAGCCACGCTCAGGACCACCACCTTTTTCTGCAATGTCTGCAAAAGAGAGGGTGGGGCAGAGCTGGGAGTTGGACCTGGCAGGAGCTCAGGAGTCAAGAACTGCCCTGACCCAAGGATGCTCCAGAGCCATCAGGCACGCATGGACTGGGGGAGTACCTCTGCTCCTGGCCACGCACCTGGCTGACCCAGCCAAAGCTGAGGTTGCCCTTCAGAATGAAGTCAAGCTCGTCCTGGATGCCCAAGGAGGGGATGTCACAGCGGAAGTGCAGGCAGTCAGCAATGGAGCAGTCCTGGGGCCAGAGAAATAGTATCAGACCAGGGGAAGGTAAGTCTGAGAGTAGGAGACAGCACTAAGCTGTGGGACTTGACAGAAGCAGCCACTTCTAAATACAGCTGGTTGTTCAGCAGGTGCCATTTGGCATTCGCAAAGTGAGCTCGAGTCCTCTGGTGGGACATGTTGAAACCTCCCGGTCCTCCTCACCAGCATAGGGCTCCTCTGCATGTGAGCCAGGAGGTCAGATTGTGTTGGCACAATTCTGTTCTGATAGCACTGGGTGGGAAGGTTCTAGAAGGCAAACAGAGAACAGGGCTTTGGCTGCAGCATCAGGGACCCGTGAGTGACACGGATAGAAGTCAAGGGCCTTCGCTGAGGAGCCAGGGCTGGTTTTGAGTACCTGGAGCTGGGGGGCCTTCACTGTCCACACAGCTTCTCCCTTCAGTGCTACAGGCACCCAAAAGTTGATGCTGGCTGGCACGTCCCTCTGCCCCAGATTATTCACCTGCACAGAAGGCACTGCGGGTAGAGTCTATGCCCAGGTCCTCTGCCCCTACTCACCAGCTCCCCGGTCCTAAGTCCCCGCACTTGCCTGGTATCTGTGTTCGACCACGCTGCTCTTCTGCTTTTCTGAGGCCGAGAAGTTGAGATACTTGGTAGACTGGTCGTGACTGGGGAGAGAAGAGTCATGAAGTCCCGCCTGGCCTCCTGAGGAGGGCCTGGCTCTGGCATGAGGATACAAGTAGTCGGGTGGGCCTTTGGGTGGCGTAGAACGAGGTGTGTGGCAGGGTTGGAATAAGAGAAGGTGTAGGGGGCAGGAGGGGTTTCAGGGCAGGTATAAGGAAGCATGCAGGAGCTACCCAAAAGAGATCACTGGAGAAAGAATAGGTTGGGGGTGTAGTGAACAGACTTAAGATCCACACCACTGAGTCATGGGGAGAGCAGGGGCCACTGCCTGCCCCATTTCTACACCTCAGCCTTCATTTCAGTCCTTTGTGGACATGTAGGATACAGCAAATTTTGTTGACCATGTGCCCCACCCATTCTTGACTCCTAGCCCCGCCCCCTTTTCTGTTTCTTTGCCTTTTATCACCAGGAAACTTTGAAGGGCCAATGCCAGACTCTTCTGCAGGTCTCAACGTAACAAAATTTCATGAGACCTACTTGGGTTCAAGCCTGGGAGTGCAGGGGCCACAAGGTCCCTTACATCCCAGCTGATTCTACCTCTGTCCCTTACCAGTCTATTCCTCGTGTACCTGACCTCTAGACCCCAAATTCTAGCCCACCACTCCTCCTCATGAGGCAAGCTAGCAAGGCACACAGGAGAAGAGGAAAACCCTGCATGGTTAGCTGCGCCTGATATAATGGCAGAGCCGTACTACAGCACAGCACCTGTGTCTGCTCGAACAGTAACAAGACCATCCCAAGCCAACTAGGACCAGCAGGGCTACTGAAGGGGTCATAACCATTAGCATGCAAGACTAGCTGTTCCCATCATGCATCTGAGGACAGCCCCCACGTAAGGGCAGTAAAGATGGGCAGGCCCTATCAGGGGGATTGTCTCTACTGCAGTCGGTCAGTCAGACAAGCTCTCCCGAATCCTAAGCAACACCACTCTCTCATGAGAAGCTTGTGCTCCCTCTCGAATGTGCGCTTTTGCTCTGTAGTAGCTCCTCCTCCCAACTCCTTACTGTCTCAGGTCTGAATTCTTTCTCCGGTGGTGACCTGGAAGCACCCGCTCTACCTTTGACAGCTCCCTGCCCTTGCCCAATGGCAACCTTCCTAAGTTTCACTTCTCCTGGACTCAGAGGACTCCTCCCAAATGCTCTAGATCTCCCTGAAGACTGGGACCTGTGATGGACCTGCAGGACCACCTAAGTCTGCAGGTGCTATGCCCTCTATGACCTGTAGGATCACCTAAGTCTGCAGGTGCTGTGCCCTCTATGACCTGTAGGATCACCTAAGTCTGCAGGTGCTGTGCCCTCTATGACCTGTAGAACCACCTAAGTCTGCAGGTGCTATGCCCTACCTGTAGAACCACCTAAGTCTGCAGGTGCTATGCTTTCTCTCACCTGTAGGTCCACCTAAATCTGCAGGTGCTGTGCCCTATCTGTAGGATCACCTAAGTCTGCAGGTGCTATGCCCTATCTGTGGTTCCCTGCACAGTGCCATGAGAAGCCCTGGGTATATATACTCTTAGAGCACGCATCTCTCTGCCTGGAGAACCCCGACATTCAGGGCAATGAAGTGTGCAGTGCTGCACGAGAAGAAACCCTCCGGTTAGGTGAGTCCCACAAGAGCAGGATTAACCACACATAGGAGCTCAGCAATGTTTGCTCCTGTCAGCTGAATTCACTGAAAGTAGCCATGCTGTGCCTGACGTGGAGCAAACACTAAGAAGGCATCTGCTGAACATTTTCTATCCCCAAGTCTCAATACCTCCTCCCATGCTTCTTAGTCCCAGCTAAGGCCCTACCTGCCTCCGACACCCATCCTCAGCAGGTATCTTTCGTTCCTATTTTCTACAAAAGTTGGGAAGGAGAAAGTTCAAAAAGCCTTACGGCAATGGTGCTCAACCTGGATGCTGTGAGCCTTTAGTTCCCCGTGTTGTGGTGACCCCCAACCACAAATTTTTTTTTGCTACTTCGGAACTCTAATTCTTCTACTGTTATGAATCATAATGTAAATATCTGATATGCAACTCCTGTGGAGAATCTGCCCTATGGGCTGTGTCTGTTTCTTATGAAAAATAACAGTCTTGCACAAATGCCAACGGCCCTTTTGAGAATCACCCTGGTCAAGCCCAGTGCCGTAGACTCCCCAGTGTTCAGATGAACCCTCTTTCACTACCAGTTTAGTAACCCACAGCTACGGTTTCATATTGAAACTCATTCTCTCCCTTCCCTAAATTTAGGCTTAGCACTCTGAGCAGCACAGTCAGGAAGGGGGGACCTACTGGGAAGTTCCTAGATCAGTGCGGGGTGCCCCAACAGAGGCTGTAACATCACTACTCCTTCCTCTGCCTTCTCTGCTGCCTCCCTGCCATGGCATGAGGACATCCATCATGGTATGCTACGTCACCACAGACCCAAAGCATCAGGCCAGAGAGCCATGGACTAAAACCTCCCAACCGTGAGCCCAAATCAGCCCTTTCCATTTGCAGGTGGCTTCAGATTCTTGTGACGATGGAAAGCTGATTGACATGCCATGTTACCCAGGGTACAGAACTGAAGAACAGCGCTTGGTGAGATTTTGACTTGGGTACAGCAACCTTGATCTCCACGTAGGCTATAAGAACCTCGAAGACAAGGGTGTATTTCATATACCCCAGAGGACCCAAGACAATCTTGTGAATTTTCAAAGCCTGTAACCTGCATTAAATATAGGCTGTAATGATAATGATTTCACAATTATGGTCATAACGAACACCCATTGATGAATATGTGCAGCTACCAATATCATCTCCTACTGAAAGGACAATAAAGCCTGAAACATCCTGGATGAGGGTAGTGACTCTTGCAAACCCTACTTCCATGAAAAGAAGAACCATCTGGGGTCCTAGAGAGCGTACCTGCTGATCACGGTGTACACGGCATACTTTACTGGGAGCTTCAGCTGGAAGGTGGTTTTATTGGTCTTAGGCGTATCATTCTCACTGGGGACAGAGGAAGAGTATGAGATGTAAAGATCAGAATTAGAAAGACATCCCCCCTGGGCCTAGCCAGCTTACCTGCTCACTCTGGCTGTTAGAGACAGCCGGTCCCCCAGCACAGCTTTGGGAGAGACATCAAAAGTTACCAAGAAAGTCATCTGAGGAAGAAAAGGGAGTGGTCACAGAAGAGAGAGGAGGATGGGAACAAGGGATGGGCTAGGCGGAAGCCAGGCTGACCTGTGCACCTCCTCGGAAAATGATGTGACTGATGCTGCAGCTGGTCCTCCAGAAGCCCTGGCTCCTGCTTGGGGAGCTATCACAGGTGAGGTGTAGGGAACGCTGCCGCCATTGGTTCTAGACAAAAACAAGGCCAAAAGTGTACATGAGATGGTGTTTGTCAGTGTTCCAGAGAGACGCTGGGATTCAAGCACACAGTTCCCTGGAAATCTTAGGGCTTGAGGCTGGATATCTGGTCAAACTTCCTAGAATGCAGAAAGCTCTAGTCCCTAGCGCCCTCACCCTTCACCTCTTGTTGGGTTTTTTGTTCTTGCTGTTATTGTTCTGTAGCCCATATTGTTCTAGAACTCACTAGAAGGCCCAGTCTAGCCTCAGACTTATGGTGATCCTCCTGCCTAAGACTCCAAGTGTTAGGATTACGGGCATGAACCAGCACACCCTGCTTCTTGTTACTTCGAAAGGCCTTTTATTGTGGATAGTTTC